CCCCCTCACAGCCCGGCCCCCTCACAGCGGAGCCCCCACGGCCCGGCCAGGCGCGGCTCCGCCGCCCCAGCCATTTAAAAATGGCGCCCCTCACCTCCCGCCGGCCCGCCGCCCGCCGGGGCCGCGGCGCGCGGGGCACGCTGGGAGCGCGGCCGGCGCCGGCGGGGCCGCATGGCGGGGCCGCCCTCAGGGGCGCTGCGGGGCCGCTGCTCCCGCACAGGGAGCGGCGGCTCAAGTGCTGTAAGCACCATCTTCTAGATCTCGTGCACATCCTCGTTTTCCCTCTAAAATATCTTTGAATGAAGCAAGAGATCGAACGTCCTGATCGGTATTGGCATTCCTCTAATAAAGCTAACAGCGCTTTAATAAGGATTACAATTGTTTTCAACCAGTATATTAGCAGGTGGGCATTGGTGATGACACGCACACATATCCGGAGAAAGGGGACAAGGAAGCCCCGGGGCAGATGTCCCGCTTGCCGGCAGCGGGGCTGGCGGCTGGCGGCGGCTCGGTGCTCGCACCCCGCTCTGCTCAGCGCTCTGCCAGCCGGGCTCTGCAGCTGTACACCGGCGTGGCACTCGTGGCGATGCTAGAAGCGAAATATCAACAGTATTCCATCGTACCCACGTACACCTATCGAGAAATCAATGACACCACAAGACTCTGTAATGAAATAAAAATTAATTTTTATTCAAAACAAATTTTGATGAAAAAGATGAGCATTAAAAGCCATAGATCTAAACAGTTTTACACTGCAAACAAATCTTTCTAGAAAGTGTTATGAAGTTGCATTCTCATTTGCTGTAGCCAGTTTGCTTTTTTTTTATTTCACTATCAGCTCTACAAATATTAACTAAGGCCAAACAGAAGCCTTTCTCCCTTTTACAGTTGCATTAACAGGAATGGTAGAATAACATAGATTCTTTCTTTGGTTCTGTTAGTGTCTGTTCATAGCAGGATTACATAGCTATAATCTATTGGAAAACGATTCATCCACATGACAAACATGACATCAAGAATCTAGATCACTCAGTGTGAACTCTGCAGGGGACACAGCAAAAAAGCTACAAAATCTAAAATTATTTAGGCAACTAAAATCAACAGACAGGGTTGAGTGTCTCTTGCCAGCTAATTTAGGGAATAACTATTGTGTATTTCCAGTGTGTAAGCTTTTTCTTAGAGAAAAATTCCAGATGGTGGAAATTGTGTTACTTTATTTTTGCCTCCACGCTTTTCACATGGATCAGAGAAGAAAAGACAGGAAAGAAAGAAAATAAAGAATTTTCTTTTTTCCTTCTGAAACCCGCTGCGTCAGATAATTCTAGTTACTCACTGATGGCCAGTGGTTCTGAAGTGTGGGTGGTAATGGGGCTCTCCTTCGTCACAGTGACCATCCTGCCTCTGCTGGCTTTCAAAGGAGAGCTGCTCCAGTGACTCAGATGGGAATCTTGCAGAGAACCAGGAAAGCGAAAAAGCAAGAATCAAGATGGAGTTCAGGGGCACAAGGAGGAAATGGCTGAAGGAATGAGGAATAGAAATCATAGCTTATAGAAGTGGGGCTAATGCACACAGCAAAAAGAGAGGAGAGTGTCAATCAAGAGAGGGATCTGGACAGCAAGAGGCAGAAACAGCTAGAAAATTAAAACAGTAGATATTACTAGACAAATATAGGGGGGAAATGTGGGAGAAGTAAATATGAAGCCATCCTGTTGGGGAGAGAGGAGAACCACATACTGAAGTTGGTTTGTTTGATTTCTCTTCTAACTCAGTACATAAAGGAAACATGTATAACACCTTTATATATATATATATATATATATAAAGATTATTTCAACAGTGACAAACTCCCCTTTTGAAACATCTCCCACAACACAGGCAGGATTTTGTTGGGGGTTTTTTTGTAAAAATATAAATTCATGCAGCTACAGGTCTCACTAGTTTATTTTCAAAAAATCTCTGTAAGGGACACTTGAAGTTCACTGTGGCTCAAATAAAAGTAAAGATATTTCATTTAGATATCTTACAGTTTTTGATCAATAGTATTAGAGATTGTTTGTGACTTTTTAATTGTCATATTATATTAGTTCTGGCTAGATCAACATTTCACGTAACAGCAAGGTTCATCCTCACACAAAGAAAGCAATGTATAAAGAGCTGTAAAATATGTAGAGGAGCCCAGGAAAATATTTCAATGCATTTCACAGACACAGTCTTCGGAGGAATATACTGCGTAAATATGGTCAGAAAAAGTCTTGAGTTTGAAAGCTCATTTAGACTTCTTTGCTGCCTTAGTTGAGCAAGCTGAAAATAGTTGTTAGAGCAGATAAATCCTCTAGCTCCTGTAGCTCAGTGGCATGTCTGTAGAGAAGGTTTTGTTGCTATGTACACATACTGCTGGTTGTACCTGTAGTCTAATCCATGCTTAGTCTTTGTCACCTTGACCTGAATCCAGCCTGGCAGGATAGAGACCAAGTGGGGAATTAGTGTTGGGAGTACAAGCTGTGTTCAGCATCTGAATCAGCAGATCCTGAAAGGATCCAAATACTTTCACTGTCCCATAAAATTGTGGCAGAGATATCTGTGACTAAGTAGTGTGCTATTTGTGGTAGAGACTTAAAACCATACATCTTGGTAGGTAGATTGCCTGAGAAAATTAATCTTTTTAGCATTACAAAGTCAAAAGACAGAATTGCTTTTAAGTGCCATAGTGCTATGATAAATCTTGCCCAGTTAAACTCAGAGGGGTTTTTACCACTAAGCTCAGTAGGACCAGAGTACAATTTTTAGCACAGAGCACATCAGTGGATATAAGGCCTAAAGCAGTTTATTAAGCTATTACTCAGACAGATGAGTTATATGGGACTGCTGACCACGTAAGCATTCTCTCCTTTGCTGTTCAGCCTGGATGTACAATGTGTACAGTTTCGTGCTGCTCTTCTGTCTTCATCACCAAGTGCCTATAACTACAGAGGAAAAGGATGTTCTCCTGACCAGTACCAACTCATTAAAATGGTATTCAACAGAAAAATAAAGAGGGAATTTTTTAGTCTACAAAAGTTTTTTCCCATGTATATTGTTTCCATATATTACTGGCTTCAGTCCTGACTGTGCTTTCATTTTCATTAGATTGATTCCATTCTAGCCATAATAACTAAAGATTTTTTCCAAATTTACACACAGGTGGGTAGACCACACACTCAGCAGCTGAAGGGATCATGACTACATCCAATACAAGCTCAATTCCTAAAGTTTCTGTCAAAAGTATGGCTGTGCTTTTTTCAGAAGCTCAGCACTGGCCAGCTTAGAGTTTGTCCTAAGGTGTAAGGTACCATAGGATCATAGAATCTGCTGACTTGGAAGACACTCATCAGGTAATTGAGTCGTACTGCTGGCCCTGCACAGGACACCCTAAGAGTCACACCATGTGTCTGAGAGAGTTGTTCAAATCCTTCATGACCTCTGACAGGCTTGGTGCTGTGACCACTTCCCCGAAGAGCCACTTCCAGTCCCAACCACACTCTGAATAAAAAGTTTTCCTTATATCTAACTTAAACCTGCCCTGACTCGGTTTCATGCCATTTCCTCACGTCCCATTGCTGGTCATGAGAATGAAGAGATCTCCTCTTCTCCAGGCTGAACAGACCAAGTGACCTCAGCCAACCCTCATAACATTGCCCTTCCAGCCCCTTCACATCCTAGAGGTCCTTCTTTGGGGGGTCTCTAGCAGTTTAATGTCTGTTTTATATTGTGGCAACCAAAACTGCCCCCAGCACCCAAGGCGAGGCTGCCCCAGTGCAGAGCAGAGGGGACAACCCCCTCCCTTGCCCGGCTGGTGATGCTGTGCCTGATTCCCCCAGGACACCCCAGGCTGTCTGGTGCCTCCTGGCTGCCAGGGCACTGCTGGCTCATGTTCAACTTGCCATCCACCAGGAGTCCCAGGTCCCTTTCCGTAGTGCTGCCTTTCATTTCCCATTCTAACACACATAACCAGGACTGCCCTGTCCCAGGTGCACAGCCTGACACTTTCCCTTGTTAAGCTTCATTTTGTTGGTGATCACCCATGTCTAATTTGTTATGATCTCTCTGCAGGGCCTCTCTGCCCTCAAAGGAGTCAACAGCTCCTCCCAATTTAGTGTCATTGGTCAGCTTTAGTATTCCTTTGAGTCCTGCATCCAAGTTGTTAATTAGGTTGAAGAGAACTGGGCAGGGAATGGAGTCCTGCAGAACCACACAAGTGACTAGCACCAGCCTGTCCAGTAGTTCAGCCTCTCCACTTCTGTCTGAATCTGGTTGGCTACACATAAAAAGTGACATAGGGTTGATCCACTAGGCAACTTCACAAAATGAATTGTCACCTAAGTCACAGTCCAAACAGGAATTGAGGAGTATACAGCATGGAAATTTCTCCTTTCAATTACATCAATGCAGCGCCAGTTGCCAGGGGAGGCAGAACCTGCCATTTGACTGCCATTCCTCTGCAGCACAAGCAGAGGAATAAACACACACATTCACAAAGAATTTATCACTAAGTTTATAAACTGCTCTGCTAGCGCTGCCTGAGCCAGCTAGATCAGAGCAGTTCTGGATGTTGCAAAATGAGTTGCAGCATAACAGCAGATGAAGTCTTGGGTGCCTTCAGCTGATACAACTTTGCTTCTTGGAGTTATTTGGGACACCAACACAAAGTATTTTCAGACTACACTGCTGGTAAGGGTTGTTTCATCCAGTGATTGCTAACACTGCACAATGGCGGCTTCTTGGCAACAAGTGAAACTTCTCTTTCTATGCTGTTAAACAGAACTGCTGTATTTTACTCTCTGCCTTTCTAATTTTGAGTGTTAAAGCAGTTACCAGAGTGTGCTATGCACTCTCCAAAGCCAGAGTTTTGAGCAATGGAGAGAACTGATGGTGAGGTGCATTTTTTTATGTCTAGTTTGCCTGGTTAGCAGGGATTATTCAGCCCATGTCAGAAACAGACAAAATCATTCCTGGTTGTGAGAGAAGCTGCTGTTTGTGAATGGAGTTAGCCTTAATATAGAAGAGGTTGCTGGAACCCATGTGAAACTCAGCATGACAAGACCTTGGAAAGTCTGCAGGTGACACAGCAGCCCCTGTGCCACTTCATCAAATAGGAGAAAACAGGAAGTACACTGTGATTGCAAAGCAATCTGTTATAGCACTGTTTCTGCTCTATTCTTGAAATAAAAATAACATCATTCCCAATGGCTGCCAGTGCCAGCTGACAAGACCCCTGCTTTATGAATAATAAAGGCAAACACTTTGCTTAATGTCAGCTATATCTTTTTTTGGCACATGTGACCAAGGTTTCTGACAATAATATAAAAATACTTTTTAAGTTTCTAATTTTAAATTTAAAAAAAAAATCCAAAGTGAGTCCAGCTGCTTGGCACAATAGCAAAATATTTGCATAGCAAATTTCACACAAGCTTTGGATAAAAGCAAGGATGATACCTAGTTTGATGTTTGCAGTTTTGCCATGTCACAACTCTAAGTGAAACTCAACAGGTTTTGGTTAAAATTGCAGCAGAGCAGAATGCTCAGATCTATCAAGTGTATTAAAACTGGGCTTTGTGCTCAATGGAATAACTTTATCACTGTCAATCAAATAATTTGTTACTGAGAAAGAAAAATCGATAGGGGTATGAGTGATTGGATAGAAAGTTTAAGAGACAATATTCATCATCAAATAAATGTAAATATTTTTATTTTAAAAAATGTTAATGGCACCTTAGAGGGGCAGTCATGACTACACAACCAAATATACAAAAATTACATTTTCATATGTTGAATCTTTCCACAGTGCTACACAAAATGGAAATACTATGAGAAACATTGCAGGTCACACACCAAGACAATTAACTTTAGTCAATAAAAGTAGACAATTTTTGGTACACCTTGATACTACCAGACCCAGATTCGCTGGGTAAAAAGGAAAGGTGGCTCTGTGCAAAGCTTTCCAACAACAGTACAACTTAATATGCTAAACGTACAGCAAATCAACCATACTAGACAGTTTGACTTGGCCTCATGCAGTCCTTATATACAGAATCATCTCAGTTGGATTTTTCAGGGAAAATAAGCAATTTCATTGACTAAAATAAAACTTTTCTTTGTCTTTCACTGTTGCAATGTAAAATTGTCTGATACTTTGTGCAGGATTAGCATCAGAGAGACCATCCCAAATTTATCTGAAAACAAGCCCTTCATCATCTGTACTTAAAGGCCATGTTCTGGCATGATGGTGAATGAAGATAGCATATATTTGGTTGATTTAAAATAGCAGAGAACATATTTGCCTGATTACTAGTTCTAGATGTACTTTCAGAAGGGATTAAATTCTGCTATCAAAATTAAAGTGTTTAATTACATTAATGTCTGTTTCTCTTCTGTTGTATCATTGAATCCAGCAGTAAAATGTCTCAATCACAGTGGGAAGGGACTTGGTTTGGACAACCAAACAAGAAAATTTGCTCTTGTACCTTCTAAATGAACTACAAGCTTCTGCATTTTCTTGTTTTGTTCCTCAATTTCTTGTTCAATGATTTTGATTTCAGAAAGCACTAGTTGTTATTGTGCAGTTAACTTTGTATCAAACATAAGTGTGAACTAATTCAACTTCAAATGTTTGAGTCCTTGTTTATTATGTAATTCAGTAGCTAATAATTAGCTGGCAACCCTTATGATTGCAAAACTGAACCTTATGCTTACACTGAATTTGTCTAGCTTTGACTCCTGATGAGTGGATCACATATCTTTCCTACATCAAATTGTCTTCACCCTTTGCATTGCTATTCCCCAGGTAAGCAGACATTATTTGTTCACAGAAAACCATTGGCTTTTAAATATCCTTCCTGGAGGGCAGAGATCAGATCTATATTGATAGATGTCCTGCAGTAGAGGCACTGCATAACACAAACATTTTGATATTAAACTAAAATACAGTGAAGTTTTTTAGTGCCTCTCTAAGAATTCAGAGCAAATAGACATCACAGGACTGCAATAAAATGAGAAGTTGCATGAATGTATATAATATAAAGCAGAAAGAAGGAATTTAAACTGGGTCTCAATCAGTCCTGCCAATCACTAATTGGACTTTCAACAATAATGGAGTTGAAGCTAGCAAAGAGATACATTAGACAATTTTTAGAGGAAACCTCATGTAGTCCTGAATGTTGAAATAGGAGAAATCAGGACAATTGTGCTAACTTTCATAAGAAACTAAATCTCCAGAAACCTCCAAACAAAAAGCTAACAAACAGTAGAAAAGGTATTAACAGCTTATTGAAGGGCTTTTCCATCAGAGAAGTACTACCAAAGTGAAGTGAAATACTTGCATACCAGGCAGCACCAAGCAGAAAAGACACTGTCTGGCAACTTTTTGTTGAGTGGGAGTGTTTTAGAGGCTGATGAGTAGATGTAAGAAGTATCCTAAGAATGTCTGATGTGTTGTATGAGAATATAAAAGCAAAAGGTATCCTGACAGAACATGGTTAACTGATTGAGAACAGAGAACTGCAGGTCTTTGGGTTGGCCTAGGCATAGTTTCACAGGAAGCAGAGCTCAGACTGCAGGCCAGATACACACTCTAATAGGTAAAATACACAGTCCCAGCCTAAAGGGGGGAAGTGATGCCCATACTGAAGCTAATAGCAGAGGCATCAGCTCTGGCTAGCTCAGGCACCAGCCTTCTCTTGACCCTGAGTATAGGCACAGGTGGCTAGCCTGTCCCACCATGGAGCTGTTTGTATCTGTTTCCTGTCGGAAAAAGTTATGAAGAACTTTCCTACATGGAAGCTGCCCCAACAATCTGCAGAGAGTCTTCCTGAAGCCCAGTTTTAGGGACAGCTAATGATTCACTGCAACAAGAAGAAAAAAGCTCATCTCCTGTAAAATCCCAGTGTCATACTCATGCAACCTTTTTACCAGCCCTTTAAGTCTCTGGATGTGGAGAACCATCTACCTCTTTCACCAGGTTTTTCTTCCAGTCTACTGAGCTAACATGGCATATGGAAGACTTCACCACTTACCAGTGTTAGCACAAGGGAGGAAATACAATGGTGAAGGCAGGATGGGAGACCTCCCTTCTTGGGTGGCCTTCCACATGGCAGAGCTCCCGGAACTAGTCTCACTCTGTACAAAACTATAACAGTTTCACTCAAAAGCAGTCATTTGCCCTTCACTTTACACTTTTTATTATTTTCTTGATGTGTGTCACATCCTTCAGTGATTTAAACCCAGCAGAGAAAATAACCTAGAGAAAAGATGCACCCATTCACCAATTAGGTTGTTTTAATTTACATAACTAATGCTATGCAGCCTTTATAGCTTTTTCTATGTCCTCTGCCAGATGTAAAGCCAATATGGAAGCACAAGACCTGTTTCCAATTTAGAATTTAGGCCCTGTCAGATTCTGTCAAGACAGTGAGCAATCTTTTGCAGAGACATAAATTTTAGATTCTACCTTCATTTTGCACCGAGGTTATCTTCCAGAGCTATAATAGGATGCCCTTGGAGCAGAAGCCTTCACATTCCCAGGTGTGAAGGGAAAGTGAATTACCACACCAACATCCTTTGTTATAAGAAAAATACTAACCTTTCTCCTACCTGTCCTTGAGGCTACCTGATGTAACATTTCAACTACATAAAACAGCAATGGGAGGATTATATAAATGTATAATCATGCAATAGGCAAAGGAGTTTTTCTTATGTAAACATCATTAACACATGGTATTCCTTTCTTGAACATCTACCTTTCTGAACCCATTCAACAAAATGCTAAACTATTTTCTCAGGAGGCCAATGCAGAAGCTGGCTGTGCAAACTGAAGAGAAAAACAGAGAGTATAATAGAGATGGCAAGAAAACATCATGAAAAGTCACAGCATTCTTAGGATCAGAATCAGTAATTGGTCTTGTTTGGGCTTTTGTTTGTTTGGTTTTGGTTTCCACTCCACTTCCCACTTGAGATGAGGTAGGGCTAGGTTAAGATAACATGGGTGTGCCTGATCTGATCCATTTCCAGTGACTGCACACCAGCAGAGTCCTTCCTGATTCTCTGTGCAAAGACTTAGGACATATAAAGAATTCTTTAAATATTTATAAGTATTTAAATTGAATTTTCTAAATGCTAAGTTGTATCATTATTTATTAAGTTAATTCTGTCCTTTCTTTAGTTCCTGAAGCCACAAATAGTAACTATTCACTGTTTATCTGATTGTGGTAAAATGTCAGAGTTCTTCCCTGCCTTCCCCTCACCCACTCCCTTTCCTTAGCATAAGGTCTTCACAAATTCTATACAAACTATTGCACTTGATTAAAAAGAAACATACACATCAAACTATGCCCTCCCTCCCATAATACCAGCATAAAAAATACTGCAACTGAAAAGAGAATATGTAATGACAATTATTTTCACAGTTACTAACACTGAACATCAAATAAGTGAAGACACTTTTTTTCACTTAATGGAGTGTGGAGAAGAATTCTGGTTGTGGTAGCTTGTTTTGTGGTGGTTTTTTGTTTGCTTGTTTATTTTTAACAAAGATCTTGGTTTATATGATGGCTGAAAGTCAAGCTGATTTTATGGATTTTTTTTTTTTCAGTTATTAAATCAGCAAAATAAATTCTAGTGGGAAAACAAACCCAACCCTGTCTCCTAGTAGTGATACTGCATGTTAATACATTATTTTCAGGAATGTTTGTTGAGAGTTCCTATATTTACAGAATTGAACTACCTGCTCTCCCTAAGAAGCTGTTCCCTCGTATTTCTGCCACATTCTTGAATCTGACAGAAGAAATAAATCCACTGTACCCAGGGTCCCACCACCTGTATGCTTTTCATTCAGTCAGAACACGCCAACAATTCAGTGCTAACAAAGGCTAACCTCAATGTTGCCTTTCTGTGTACTTCTTTCCCCTTGCAGGTTGCAGGGCTTGAATAAATGAGTGCTTTGATGTGGATGACAACTTACCTACCAGTTACTTGCTTTTTAACTCCTTTACAAAGTTGCCTGGAGATGTCATAATTCAATTCAGCCCATCTTTGGAAGTCTTAAGCCACATGTATGTGTTTCGTGAATGTGATAAGGAACAGTGCCAGGACAGAACAATTGCTAACTGTGGTCAATAGTCATTACTGGTTTCATTTACAAACAATACACTCTGTGCAAAAAGTTACTAGCAGAAGCATCAAGTTTTGTTAATCTTGAAAACTCAAAATCCCATGCAATGATACCCATTAATTTAGAACTATCAATACACATGACTGCATAGTTCGGCTTATCAGTCTAGTTGGATTCAGAGAGAAAATTAACTATCATTGTAGCAGAGCTGATACGCATTATGGCACTCCCTCTTGATCACACTCTGTGCACTCCAGCCTAGCAAAAAGCACACCTGACACTTGCAGTCGCTGGGATCCCTCCCAGACCATCATACCATCTCTTGTGGGTATGGGTTTGGAAAGTGGAAAACCTTTTGGGTTAAGGCAGAAGACTGACTTAAGTGAGCAGTTCATCACAGATACAGCCAGTTAGACAAACTCAGATTGAACAGGCAACTGACTGCCAACAAGTATACTTTTATATATTTACACCAGAATTTGTATACACACAGTGCTTAAAAAACAGGGAGGGGAAGAAAAAAGGGGAGAAAAAAGAAAAAAAGAAAAAAACCAGGCAGTCAAACAGCTTCATCTTGGTATAATCATCCTTTCTATAGCACAAATGATATGATCCCAGTTTTTACAAAATATTGCCAGCAGTGTCACTGCAAAAAAAGTGCAGATGATATGAAAACGGCTCTTCATCATAGGAGCAATGAACTTTGCAATAGTAGAAACACACACTAAGATGACAGTCATGAAGGCCAAGATAACATTTATACACTTCCCCAGGAGCACTTTGGCATTAACTGTTTCAGACTGCTGTGCTTGCTGTTCTTGCTGATGGAGCTCCAGTTTGGAAACCCGGGTCTGGCATGATTCCAAGGCTTCCTGGAGACAGAAAACAAGAATTAGGGCAGCCATATTTCCCTTCAATGTTTCTTCACATTTTAGCTGCAGAGCCATCCATTAGCTAGATTAGAATGTAATTTATTATAGACTGCTAAAATTTCAATGAACCACCAACTTTTAAAATAATAAATGCACATATATATGAGTGAGTATGAATGAGTGTGTCACTATTTGCTCAGGCATAATCAAGGCCAACACCACTGTCCAAACTGTAGGTTTGTTCTTTTTTTGTGCTCAAGAAAAAGTATCATAACTTTAACGTTCATGACAGTTGTTTCCTATATATACTGTTGATATAAATTACTAGTAAAGCTGTTGCCACAGCAACTATCACTGCACCAAAACAGCAAGAAATTAGTTTCTTTGTATATTCTATAGAAAACATTAGGGTGGGCTTGCTGTGATACTAGGTGACTCTATTTTGCAACATGTAGCAGCACTTGGTTTACACTGCCTCTGTAGTCTACATTGATTTTGCTTTCAAAGCTACCCATTCTACAGTGCTGGGCTTGAGTCCTCTGTGAGATCTGGCCTTCTCCCTCTGTGTGAAGACAGTGGAATAACCTGTGGAGATGCTTTTATGGATTCTCTCCCACATGATCTATTCTGCTTCACACTTTGTTCTAAAGAAAGCAGACCTTTCTCTTCTGCTTGAGGATGAACTAAAAGTGGTCTTTCAGTAAAATGCTTCCTAAAGACACTACCCCCATGCTTAAGCCCTCCCAAAGCAAAACAGGAAAACTTCCAGCTGTTTCACTGATTTGCCAAAATGCCAGCTCTTTCCTGGAGTTGGGATTTGGGCATCACTGGGTAACGTGGTGCAAAACTGTAATTTCATGAGATTGATCAACTTGACAGAATCTTTTACCAGTGTGTGACAAAGAAAACCAATGCTCCGCCATCCCTACTTTCTTGCTCACTCTCAAACTCCAGATATTTTCCTTGCACTAGCAAGGTTGTTCACCTGGTCACACACAAAGCTGTTTCAAAACAAACATTTTTGTATAAACGCCCAGAGAGTTATCAGCTTTCGCTTGCTGGGTCAGTTCTTCATTGTTTCAGCAAGTTGAACTGGCTTACCAATTGACTGCAGGCACCAAGGTCACCACAGAGAGTGTGGCACAGTGATTTACACAAGGCTGCTTCTGTTACTGCTCTAGGAATTAGTAATAATAATACAGAAGATTGTTACTACAGTTCTTAATGGGTGGCACAAAGTCTGTTATGGTCAGGTATGTTCTCCACTACACACTAATGAACTTCCCTGGTCTTTCTTCCACTCTGACTGTAAGTTATCCTCAAATTGTCTTGTGCTGCTTTAGAGAAAGTCCAGCTGCAAAAGTCTGATACCTGCAGCTCTGCATTGAGAGGCTGAACACGTCTTTAAAACTATCTGCACATCTCTTAGTGACAAAGTTAGGCTGTTACTCAAAATATCTAGAGCTTAAATCCTTTTACTCTATTTTAGCTAATTTTCCAAAGCCCCAAAGAGATGGGTTTAAATGGGTCCAGCTGTACAGAGATAAAAGAAAAAAGGCTGTGTCAACAGACCACTTCATTAAGGAATCTCTGACACCCCTCCAGAAGTCTTTTACAAGTCTCTGACACCCCTCCAGGATTCTGCTAATGAGTTAGGGAATATTTCACAGTCCTTCTGTTGGACAACTCAGGTTTCATTACCTTTTTACATCCTCAAGATGCCTTCACAGAAATGAGTCCTCTTTTCTTTGAATCTGTGAGAGACCTCTCTTGTTTAAACCTACAATGAAACCTATGATGTGCTTAGATTCAGTACCATCCCTTTCCCATTCTGTTCCCAGGAGCTTCCTAATTCACATTTAGGAAACTGTGATCATCCTGCTGCCTGCACTTTCTCTGTTTAGAAATGTGAGCACAGGTGTATATAGGTCAAGTTTTAGGTTCTTGTACCATCTGAGCCAATATGAAGACAGTCTTTGAGCATTCCTCAGTTGTTCATGAATAGGTAAGGCACAACTGTGTTTTCACCACTTTCTCAGACTTTGAGTGGAAATATTATGCATTATGCAAGTGCTTGTATTGTATAAAATATTCAAGTATGTATGTAACTACATGCTGTCAGGACATACTTGTAGACACTGTTACTGGTTTTTGATTGCAGTCAGACATGACTACAACTGATCACCAAGATGAAAACACCCCACAGCTTTGATCATAGAGGTTGTTGTGACTATGGCTTAAACCTCTTTAATTATAACTAGAAAATCTACAAGTCTATTTATGAATCATCTCTCTTACTTTTTACCCTAAGCTCAATTTATAATAAATCTTGCCAGTGAAAGTCTGGAGAAAGTCTGAGTAAGAAGTTTATGTCAGGACATTGTCACAAGTGTTATGTCACACAATGCAAGGAGACTTGATTCCTTCCTCCTCTGTGAAAGAAATTAAAACAGACCACTCTTCAACCACAACCTAGGCCATATAATCAGTTTCAGCAGAAAAAAAATCCTGAATCCAGAGAAACGAATGGACACTCTCACTGATTCAATCTGCTGTGTTAAAACAGAGAAAATAAGGGTTTATATCTTTCCCCATATTTCTTATTTAAAAATATGTAGAAAAATATAAGTGTTTAATGGTACAAGATCTCTATAAAATATTAAAAGATGATGATAAGGAAAATAAGTACCTGAACATCTCGTGATCGCTCGTAGGCCTGATACGCCACCTTCTCCTCTATGCTGGCTAGCTCTTGTTTCAAGTTTGCTGTCTCATGTTGATGAAGGTCAGTGAGGTCATTTAACTGGTCTTCCAATCTTTCATATCTTATTAGGAAAAGAAATCTAAATTTAGTGCCTTCTATTTAAGTAATGCAAATCATGAAAACAATTGCACATTTTAAAAGGTAATTTCTCAGCATACAATGATTCGTCTGACTGGCATTACAAAGTACATATAGAAATCAGTAAAAACTTTGCAAACTTTCCATAAACATTTATTCAACAATCTGAAAGCCTTTTGAGTGTTTCTTGCTGGCAGTAGGTGCTAAAAAGCAAATATTCGTACAACATTGGCAAATTATATAAAATATAAACAGTGCCTAAGGATATCCAACTCACATTCTTCACTCTTCATTTAGCCAAGAAGATATGGCTTCATAAGTAAGTTTGAGCCAGTTAATAGCTCACCAGTAATGACAGGAAAAATATGTTCTCCCTCATACACAACTGCAGGGCTCTGCCACTTATGTACAGTCTGTTCTGGCATGTTTCTACATGTTAAAGCAGTTCAAGTAAACCACCAGAAAACTAGATTTTTTTTTTTTTTTTTGGTGAGTTTGTCACTTGATTAACAACAAACAGGCAAACACTGCAGTCAGCACAAAAATGATGGAGGCAAAATTTTCTAGAAATGGGTAGCAGGAGGCTTGAGATTTTATTGGCAGAGAGCTGACAGAAAAGGCCACTGCTTTCTCCTGAAACCAAGTAATGAGTTCAGTAGGCCACTTTCATTGTTCTTTCCACCCTATATTACCTCATGATATCAAACCTTTCATTGTATTTCAAGAACTATAAGCAAGGGAGACATGAAATATTGCCCTTCATACTAAGATTTTGCTCACTGGCATAGTAAAACTTCAAGAATCAACTGTCACTTTAACAAGCCATAGGAAAAATGGCATATAGGTACAGCAGGTGAAAGCCCTCTGTAGAACACATCATCCACTTTTCACAGAGCGTGATAAAGGAATTAATTGTCACGTAACAAATGCAAGGTGAAGTTGTGCTAAAGCACTTCAAACTACATCTCCCAGCTGTATGTTACACCAGGGTACAAGGTGACATTGCATCCACAAGATAGCAACGTGCATGAGAAGTATTTGGACAAGGTACTCAGGAGTCAAGGGTATACTTATCAGCTGTCAGTCAGTTCTGCTATGCCACAGACTGATTAGCTTTTTTGGAGTCACATTAGATGAGAATCCTTCCACTAGCTACAAAACCATTGGCATCTCCTATACGCAGTACTCATATAATTCACATTAAAACTATGACAGAGGAGAGAGTTTTCTTATCAGCTTCTGACAAAAGGCAAAGGGCACTACACCATTTGATAAGAAATATAAATATTATATGTGTATTTTTGGTTATTGGGAAGAATTAAACATGTTGGTACCAGATATTGATTGGAATTATTTTTTCCTCTTGCTTCTGAAATCTCTCTCTCTGAATCACACACTTTCCAAAGAGTTTCTATGCCCATTCAAAAGTCATTTCAAGAGAACAGATAAAAAAAAAAAAATACCTATATCTTTCCTCTTGTAGCATCTGAGAAATAAAGCCATAGTCTCTTTTAAATTGGGTTTTTAAATTCTCAATATCATCAGCTAATTGGGACTGTGTCTCCTTGATTTCCCTTAGTTCCTCCAAAATCATGGACAGCTTTCCTTGGCTGTCCAGGGTACTTGCCACAGCAGGACTAAAGGAGGTATTCCCATTGCTGTCTGCCGATCCAGAGGTCCCACTTGAGCATTCATCATCACTAACATATTTTGGTTTGGCAACAATGGTGGCACTGCCCCCATAGGTTCTAGAACTTGTTTCTGGCCGAAATTCATCCAGGGTATTTTTGAGATGAGCAATGTTGTCTGCGCTACCAAATTTGTTTCGAATCAGGTTGGCAAACTCTCTAGACTTGCTGAAAACAAAGACAGGTGGTGTCAGAGATACACCCGGCACACCCGACTTGCTGCTCTCTGTTCCGTGCCCACTGCTACGAGATTTTCCATGTTGAACGTCTTTCAAGTTATCTTTGGAAGTATCCTTGGTAGCTTTGGAAGATCCATTTTGTTCAATATCCTTGAGCTTTTTGTGATACTGTTCCAATTTCTTCTGCAGCTGGGCAATGGAGTGGGCAGATTTCTGGTTCTTTTTCTCAAAGACTTGCTTAATGCGCCCAGCCTGTTGCTTGTCTGCACTGTTCACCAGTTTCAAATACTCAGCCACGTTTCCATCTCGAGCTGTTTGTTCAACCTTGATTTGCTCTGTAACCTTGAGAATTTTCTGTTTCAAGCTATCTGCACTGAGTTTGACTTTGTGAAATTCTAGAACCCCATCAGGTACATCAAAGTTCAGGTTGGTATCAGAACCTCCACGGCGGATGTTAAGTGGTAAACTCAGGGTATTCATGTCATGTCTTTCCACCTGAGAGAAGAGAAAAAGAGGTAAATGGAATTTGCCTAAAATATATTTTTTTTAAATCAAACATCCAGTTTACTTTTCCACATATAATGATATCAAGTACACAGTATAAAGTAACTTATATTAGCAAAATAATAATAAACTTTTCTTTGAAATTAAGCAGCATTTTTCTTGACTTCTACAGGTTAATAAACAGTCTAAGGAACTGCTTGTCTCTCTTAAAATAAAGATGAATTAGAGAGAAAAGTATTCAGAATAACTTATAGAATCACTGTAAGCTTTTCAGAATCACTTACAGTTTTCCACAAAATGAAAATAATACCTAGTTAGAAAAGGTTCCTAAATATATTTTTTATTATTAAGAGTTTCAAAGAGACCATGGCTGATAATAATTCTGTTTTTTCTCTTAGAAGTGGTCAAACATCAATGGAGATGTAATCAGATTTTTCCCTCTACAGCAGTGCTATATGCTATATACTGTTCAGTATATTTTCCCAGGTTAATGCCTTTTTTGATACATTCCATTCAAATTCCTCCCACAATTCCAAGTTTTTGGAAAACTTGCTGAAAGCAAGCTGTTGAAAATTTAGTGTATGCTGCAAGATGGAAGCAACAGCTGTATTTTAAAGCAGAGAGCACAGAGAAAGAATTGGCCTGTATTTGACTTTCCAGCTTGATGAAGGTGCTCAACAACTTGATCTGCCGTGCTAATTCGGTTTTAATAGGAGGTTCACTCAGTGGGATTTAAAGGGAGAAACTCAGGAAAGAAAACTGCATTCAGTCAAGTATAGGCTCTGTACACATTAAATGCTCTCTGGAAGCACAACAAAAACAATTAGGCAACTCAGTCACAGCACTGACCACAACAGATAATTTTATCTTTCTCAACAGAAAGGCAAGATAGTCTGATACAAAACATTAAAAGTGTTTCCTTATATAAAGTCAAAGTTATGGAGAACACATGAGAAGAATGGTCTAAACAAAATAGCTTCATCCCTCTTATCATCTTGGTTTAGTCTGTGTGACAAAGAAAGTTCATCTCATTGCAGCTACCACAGTGTTTTGTCTGTAGAGACTGCTTAACAAATGCTCTAGCCATAATGGGTTTTCAGAGCTTTCATACCAGAGGGAACCAATATATTTCTTCAGGCAACACCATTGCAGAAACAAGGCAGAAGCTATATTCATCTCTACTACTTTATATTATTTATTTATATTATTATTATTATAGATTACCAAGGATTACAGTGGGAATTTTTCTTGATTTTTCTTTTGCTACTGCACCACTCAGGGCACAAACCAGCTAACCTAAAAATTCACATTCACCAATACCCAAAAAAAAGGCACTTGAAAAGTGCATATTGAAAGCATTCTGTACTTGACAATTTCTTTAGGAAAATATTGGTTAATGATGACCTTTAAGACTCAGACTCTATCCCAGGGATTAAACCAGTGCTGTGACAAATAAATCTACACTAACTAGTTTGTTTAAAACAACTGGTATTGATCCAAATGTTCAGTATACAAGAATTTCTTGAAACAACCTAAGATATTTTTTAATAAGCTTTGGCACAAAATGATACTGTAATTAGTCACAGAATTGTATACACACACAAAACAGATCCATCACTGATGTCACTCAGTACAAGCTGTACATAACTTCCAGGAACGGGTGGGTCTATATCTAACCTTTACACAGCAGTGTTTACTTCCTCAGTAAAAAACAGCCTAGAAATGTATTGTAATAATTGGATACAAGCCCAAACCAGATCCCCCTCCCTTATGTCCTCTCCTTCATGGGGCTCTCTATTGGTCAGCCTTCTCTGCCTTCCTGAAACTTCAAGGTCACAAAGGCAATACAGATAAAAAGAACAATAGCATCGAAGGAATACATCTGCTGAATGTTGCCATGCTTTTGGATATGAGGAAATCTGTTAGTGTGGGGCAAATCTGCTCCTGAATAAAACAAATCATAGGGTCAGTTCAAATTCAGCAAAGTTTAGAAAGGAATTGTTTTAAATTCCCAAAACACTGCTAGCAGTAGGGTTTTTTACTTACTGGATTAAGAGCTCACTAAGGGTACAAAAATGTTATATCCAACATATTTTTCTGTCTGATTGTATTTGGACAAAATGGCAGGTGTCCTCTGTCATCATGTTGCAAGGCTGGGTCAAGCAACAGAGGCTCTTGAAATCCTCTGCTGATGTAATACACCTTTTTTGGGGGGGAGGGGTGGAGTTATTTCTTGTTTAGGTGGGGGGCTGGTTGGTTGGGCTTCATGGGGTTTAGTGTTTCTTGGAGTTTTTGGTTTGGTTATTTTAAATGAGAAGCAAGCAGACAGTAGGAGAGTCAGGTATGTCTAGACAAGTGGCCTTTTACCTTTCTTTTACTTTGATGATCCATCTGTGATTGTTTTATAACTCGGCACAAATACTACCCCAAAGACATCAGATTTCCATCTTCAAATCCTACCCCAAATCCTTCTTCCTGCAAGTCTCATTCTATGATGAGAAGAATTAGCTTCACTTCCTGTTGTATTGAATGCCTCACTGTTTACATTGAGCACAAGACTCACAGTAGGAATCCGAAATGCTTCCTCATCCCAGCAGGTACTAGTGCCCTCTCCTGGGATGCAGGCTGAAATCCTCCCAGTGCAGGAGACTGAATGCACATCGTCTTCAAACTGTGTGAGTGCTCTTCCAGCTATGCTATGGGAGAAATGAGGAATGCCATCCTACATTGGATGGCAACAATGGTTCCTTCTATGACTCCTGGGTCTCCAGCATCTCACAGTGCCACCAAGCTGTTTATACCAAGCTGTTAATAATAAAGAAATTGCTGAGAGAAAAATACATTTACATACAGTAGCAGGCCCAACATCCTTTTGTAAGTGAGAAGCACTTTAAGAAAAAAGAATCATATGTATCTCATATTATGGTAATTAATGGAGAGCTGGGCATAAGCAGTAGATGAGAAGCAGCAGTCCTGAGACATGTGGTACCACCAGGTAGACAGTAAGTCAAAGCACTGGCCCATAGTCTGAGAAAATACCAGAGACATGCCCAAAATCTTTCTTCTAGGAAAAAAACAGTGAAAAAACCAATTTGCATATGGTCCTGGGATAGCCATAGCTGATGTTAGCCTGAAAAAAGACACCTGGGGCTTGTAGAGAGACTACTGCACTTTATAGAGCAGTTCAATGCACACTTTACTACAATCCAGTTGATAACTAATAGTAATGTTTGTGCTGCTGAAATATGAACTTTTAAAAACAGTGAATATGAGCTTTTAAGAACAGTATCACAGATGACTAGATAGGTAACTCTCAGAGATAAAGCCCCAGTCCCCCTTTTCCCAGGGAATAAAGAAGATCTCCAGCTGCCTGACCATGCCATGTCCAGAGCTTCAGAAGGGACAGGAAAATCACTTCTTGGTGCAATGAACACAGAAGCACTGCTAGGAACCCTTCCCTGTATATGAATTGTTAGGTTTACTTTCTGTCTTAAATGTAAAGTGAAGGGCTGGGTAATAGGCAGCCTGCCATTCAAAAAGAAGCATTCAGAGCACTGTAGTGAAAACCCAATCACAGAAGCAAGGGTAGAGATTTCATTGGCATCACAATGATGCACCTGTTTCTTCACTTACTGTCTGCAAAAGCAGCACCAAGGTCAGACTTGCAGGCCATGCTATCAATGAGCCCAGAGCACAGTAGGACCCATGTTCTCCAATGCCACGGGTAAGACTGTTGGAGATTCCACATGGACAAGATCTGCTGAACAGGTGAAAATATCATATTTAATGGCCTATAGGGATTATTCATTGTATCCTCTTATTGGAAATATAAAGTAGACCTAGGAGACCTTATTTCTTCTGCAAAGATCCTGGGTGGGATCCATCTGGGAGAAAAAAATCCATAGTGAATAGAAAAAAAGCATCTACAAGACAGATGCATATAGGCATCAGGCTCCAGAAAGCCCACACTTTTGGGTTGTCTCACTAACAGAAACAAACCATGAAGACATAAAATTATCTACTTACTTAAATAGGCTTAGTTTACAGGTGTTTCCTTCTTTCACCTCATTACCATCACCAGTCATAGCTGTGCAAGCTAAACAAAAGCTCATGATGACAATTTAAGTCTATCTTGAAAGAGTTTCTGATGAATGCTTAGAAAAAAAATCCCATGAGGAGCATACAAAATAGCATTAAGTCAGCTTCAAAGCTCTTAGAATTTGGTAATAGCAACAAAATTCATCAGGAACAATTCTCTTTTTATCAGAAATATGCATATGCCAGAAGCACAGGTGTTCCAATGGGTAAAAGAACATGCAGAGGGAGTTTTAGTAAGTTTTCAGTATATTTCCAAGCAAAAATGTATTTGGGGAGAGACCTTCACCATCTCTTTCAAGTTCACTGTTCCTTCTAAAATCCACATAAAAATCCTTCATGGAAGTCTTAAAATAGAACTAAATCATCATAAAACATTTTAAGTTGGGTAAATTCAGCCCCCAACATTTTTGTACAGTATGTTACAGCAGAACACCTTCTACTTGTGTTTCTTTACAGAGCTACTTAATAGTAATATCTAGAAGTACCTACACACAGAATACCATGCTAATAATCATGCAGAGGGTTGAAAGTATATGGGAATGGAGGGAGTCAGCAACGTGTTTCTACTTCTTACTGGGGTAATGGAAGATCCTGGGTGATTTTTCTGAGACCACCTGGTAAATGCTGATGGAGTCAAATAACTGAAGGTGTTTCTTTCATCATCAATAGTTCCTCTATTACCTATTTACTCCCTATCTCCCCTTAAAAAAACACTGAAGCTGTAAGGCATCTCACTAACACACTATAGGTGTTTATTCCAGGTAGGAATCAAAGGAAATCCCAGATGCCCTTTGGCAAGTATCTGATCTTCAATATGTGAAAAATGCATATTTTATGATTGGCTTTTTGCAAATATTACAATGAATATTATATGCATAATGTTAGAAAGTTGT